TGAAATTACCGTTTAGGTAATGGCTACCTTTGCTTCAGTTTTCTATCAGCCCATTTTTTTTATTGTTATTCCTCTCAAGTTTATTTCCGATAGAGGCTAAGGCCAGTCGAGTAAGTGTAGCAGTCGTTGTACCAGTGCCCGTCTTAGGGCCAGCTCGCAAGTTGCGTTTCTAAGAATCGATGTTTCCAGCAACTGTATCTCTGTACCTGTGGATCGATACAACAATTCCAACCTCCCTACTATGTACATAACGCTGCCGGTATGTCCAACAAGAGAACTTTTCTCACGGAAATGATTTCCCCATAAACATATTGTCAGCTACTGAATTCATTCTGATCAAATCATATCAAATTATCCCATAAACTCTTAATATCGACGGGATACCATTTTGGTTCATTCATCGCATTTCTCGTTTAAATAAGGTTAATATACTAAAGTCAATACAAGGCTTGAGAGTCCCTCAAGGTAGAAGGTTGCGGTTAAAATGGTAATGATGAATGAGGTGTTTGATATGAATGAAAGATGAAGTGATAAGAAGTTTGGTTTGCTTTCGTTTCGTTTGTTTTACGGCATATCAACCTCGATGTGTTATTTAATGCCGACAAAATTTCTATTGCTGGTAATATTTTGTTTTGTCAAAAATCTACTTCTGTTAATATTTTTCCCTCAAAAATGTATTGCTGGTAATATTTTTTTTCTTCAAATATTTATTGCTAGTAATAATTTTTTACAAAGTATTTCTGGTATTAAAACCTATTTTTACACGTTCATAGAGTTTTGACACCAGTTTGGGGGGTCAGCTATTTGCTCATAGCTGGGACCCTAACAGGTATTACCATCCCGGGTCATGGTGGACCTGGGAACACCAGCAATTATTAACAGGTGGTTCCACGCTCCTCAAAACCTCCTGAGCAGATTATAAGGTTAAGGACGGTAGATAACGACTGGTCCTTTTTCTTTTTTAATCAATTCACCCCAAGTAAGGCAATAATCTCACTAAGGCAAGTGGAAGAAGAATGGTTGCCAATCAAGGCTACAGGACGCAGTCTGTCCTTTTTCTTTTTTAATCAATTCACCCTAAGCAAGGCGATAATGCCCCTAAGACGTAAGGCGCTACTGGGAATGAAAGAGAATAAGAAGACTTTAGAAAGAACAGGAAAACAAATCTTAAACAGGAAACAAGGGATAGACCACTACTCCTGTTCAAAAGACCGGGAGAGGAGTGTGAATTGGATGGTAGGCGAACCTATCTACTCCTATTAAGGAAATAAATAAATAGTAAATGAAATTTCAGAGATTAGGCGGAGATGGTAGGAGTATAGATTTGAAATAGAAAGAACCGGGAACTTAATCCTAAAATGGAAACAAAGGATAAACCTCCATTCCTGTTCGAAAGACCGGGGAGGTGAACCGGACGATAGACAAACCTATCCACTCGTAAGTCTGCTGTTTTTCAGAGAAGCATCCATTCAGGAGTCTTTATTATAAAGTAGGAAAAAGTTGCCTGAATGAAACTTTCTGCTTATATCTGAAATACGTGGGAAATTGGGTTGATTCGACTACGTGAAAGTAGCATGGAAGTGCCCTAGCTGTAAAGGTCTGAACTGGTAGAAATAAAGAATGGAGCTCATCTGAACATTTGCCATGGAAATAGCGATGAACTGGTAACTAAGGAATGGAGCTCATCTGAAACATTTTCCCAGGAAATAACGATAGAATAGAGAGTCTGAAAGGTCTGAACTGGTGGAACTAAGGAATGGAGATCATCTGAACATTTTCCATGGAAATAACGATAGATTAGAGAGAGGCTTAGCTGCAAAGGTCTGAACTGGTGGAACTAAAGAATGGAGCTCATCTGAACATTTTCCATGGAAATAACGATAGAGTAGAGAGAGCTTCGCTGTAAAGGTCTGAACTGGTGGAACTAAGGAATGGAGCTCATCTGAACATTTTCCATGGAAATAACGATAGAATAGAATAGAAAGGTCTGAACTGGTAAACTAAGGAATGGTCTGAACTGGTCCCAGGAAATAACGATAAATAGGAATTAGCTGCTCATCTGAACTGAACATTTTCCCATCTGGGAAATAACGATAGAATAGAGAGAGGCTAGCTGTAAAGGTCTGAACTGGTGGAACTAAGGAATGGAGCTCATCTGAACATTTTCCATGGAAATAACGATAGAATAGAGAGAGGCTTAGCTGTAAAGGTCTGAACTGGTGGAACTAAGGAATGGAGCTCATCTGAACATTTTCCCAGGAAATAACGATAGAATAGAGAGAGGCTTAGCTGTAAAGGTCTGAACTGGTGGAACTAAGGAATGGAGCTCATCTGAACATTTTCCATGGAAATAACGATAGAATAGAGAGAGGCTTAGCTGTAAAGCTGAACTTGTAGAAATAAAGAATGGAGCTCATCTGAACATTTGAAAATAGCTGAAGTGGAACTAAGGTCTGAACTGGGAACTAAGGAATGGAGCTCATCTGAACATTTTCCCATCGATAGAATAGAGAGAGGCTTAACTGTAAAGGTCTGAACTGGTGGAACTAAGGAATGGAGCTCATCTTTTTCCATGGAAATAACGATAGAATAGAAAGAGGCTTAGCTGTAAAGGTCTGAACTGGTGGAACTAGGAATGGAGCTCATCTGAACATTTTCCATGGAAATAACGATAGAATAGGAGAGAGCTTAGCTCATCTGAACATTTTTTCCAAGGAAATAACGATAGAATAGAGAGAGGCTTAGCTGTAAAGGACTGAACTGGTGGAACTAAGGAATGGAGCTCATCTGAACATTTTCCATGGAAATAACGATAGAATAAGAGAATGTAAAGGTCTGAACTGGTACAAATTTCTGAACATTTGCCATGGAAATAACGATAGAATAGAGTGAGGTCTTAGCTGGTGGAACTAAGGTCTGAACTGGTGGAAATAATAGAATGGAGAGGCTTAGCTCATCTGAACATTTTCCCATGGAAATAACGATAGAATAGAGAGGCTTAGCTGTAAAGGTCTGAACTGGTGAAACTAAGGAATGGAGCTCATCTGAACATTTTCCATGGAAATAACGATAGAATAGAGAGAAACTTAGCTGTAAAGGTCTGAACTGGTGGAACTAAGGAATGGAGCTCATCTGAACATTTTCCATGGAAATAACGATAGAATAGAGAGAGGCTTAGCTGTAAAGGTCTGAACTGGTGGAACTAAGGAATGGAGCTCATCTGAACATTTTCCCAGGAAATAACGATAGAATAGAGAGAGGCTTAGCTGTAAAGGTCTGAACTGGTGGAACTAAGGAATGGAGCTCATCTGAACATTTTCCATGGAAATAACGATAGAATAGAGAAATAAAAGGTCTGAACTGGTGGAACTAAGAATGGAGCTCATCTGAGAAATAACGATAGATTAGAGAGAGGCTTAGCTGCAAAGGTCTAAACTGGTAGAAATAAAGAATGGAGCTCATCTGAACATTTGCCATGGAAATAGCGGTAGAGTATAGAAGGGTGTAGCTGCAAAGGTCTGAACTGGTAGAAATAAAGAAACTCAAATAAAACGTTAGGAAAGAAACCCTCATCAATAATGCAAAGAACGATAAAGGCTACTAGAGTCGAGAAACCTGTTTTCATGAAAAATTGCTTTAAGGAAGAGCTTTTATAAATTTCAACCGAATGCTGCACTGGCTGCTCGGTCAATATATATCTAATGTTTCCTTAGAGGGAATCGGCTAATATTGCCATTGCCATTATCAGTAGAATCATTTCTTGGTTTTATTAAGTAGGGAATTAGTTAAACTGTATCAGTTAGTATTAATGAATCAATAATATTTATGCAACACCAATAATCACTATATTGTTTTTGTTTTATTTCACTAAGATTTTAATATATGATGAAAAATAATATGATAATTTATGGTAATCATTTTTATAATTAACGTGCATACTCGTGTATAAGCCGACTTCAGGTATAGTACGACCGTTATATTTTTTTGCATAAATTTTAACCCCTCCAGAAAAAATTACCTGTATATAGTGCCCCCTTCCCCCCACCACCACCATTTTTTGCATTAAAAAAAACTGGTCGTAAAACACTTGTATTATACTCGAGTATACAGAATATGTCGTGTCACCGGCAACTAAACCGATTCCCGAATGGGGCTTTTCTAGTGAGTAGGGTGACTAGACACCCAGCAGGATAAAAAGGGCGTTAACAGGCAAACGAACCATCGTGTATGGTGATTTTCAAAGCGCATCTTAGATGTGGCACGGGGCCGAAAGTATTTGGCATCCAGTGAGGATCGAACTCTCTACTCAGTTGTAATTGTTTTAACCATTACACCACATCTCGGTGCCACAGACGAACCTTCTTGTAGGGTTATCTAGCAGAACGGAGTAGACGATATATGCACTCAGTGCGGTGATAACACTGCATCGCTGTTGGGGGAGAGATTCTTAAACCGAAGTCAGGGTACATCCGACGAAATCAGCGGCCACATGTCCCTGACTTCAAGCTGGAGAACATCGACTGTAGTTTGGCCTAGATAGGTATGGGGTCTACTTGCTCAAGACACGGTACACATGAAAACAACCATGGCTTTTGACTCAGATATATGGAGGGAACTGGTGAGGTTCTCAGTGACCGTATGGCTACACTCGGTCATGGGACCCAATGATGAATCATTCTTATTTGTAGTCATCGCTTTTTGGACATTCTCCAAAAGGTGTTAGTGCCAGAAACGTTTTCTCTGTGAGGAAAACGTTCTACTACGTCTACATAGATATCTACTTAGACTGTAGATTTTAAAGTTTAGAGACGTTCTTTTATGCGCCATGTCTTTTCAAAGATTTCCTGTAAGCTTTGACTCTTGACTATCTTTAATTTGTGGTACTAAATGGTCGTAAGTTCATTTTTTCTGAAATGAGAAAAAAAAAACACCTTAAAGGTAAAAATTCAGAATAAATTGTGATTTTTTTTTTATTAATTTGGCGCCTAGCATTACAAAAACGGCCGTATCACGTTGAAATATTGGTTCCCCTACGATCACCGAATTTAAGCAACGTCGAGCCTGGTCAGTATTTAGATGGATGTCCGCTTGGGAATACCAGGTGCTATAAGCTTGGATGTGTGAGTTGTGTAATGAATAAAGACTCGGAATTGTTAATCGGAGAGCCGAGTTCTAGTTCCCGTTGGGTTCGTTATATTCCCTTGCAAATACCCTTGGGAAATGTATGAATCCATCCCTTCTCCCCCCAGCTATAGGTTAATTAGTAAGATTTATATCACTAAAACCATTATTATCTCAAAAAAAATTCTTACAATGTAAAAATTATTGCCTTTAAATAACCTGAAAAAGGTTGATAAGTCATTGCTATTTAGAATATTAAGCATCACTTAGTTCAGTAGTTTCTTTCTTTGTTTCTAAGGATAACTTTCTATGTCTTAATACTTTGCTTAGATTCTGGAAGGCAACTTTCGCTATTCACATACACGTTCGGATTTCTGTATCACATTTAATGTCGTCTGTTTATTTAGCAGTTTTTCTTTCTTGCTTGCTAAATATTTTACGCGTCTTTTGTTTCGTGTGGAATATGCAATAATTAGAGTATCAGAGGCGGTATTCATTACAGTGTTTCATATAAATGTGAGTGCTCTTAAATAGAATCAGATGATTATTCCGGATTTTACTTTGTTGTTATGTGAGAATAGAAACTTATGAGATCATTTTTATACTTTTATTTTCTCTACAGCAACAAAATAAAATCGCGAATAAACATCGGATTGTATTTAAGAGCACTCAGAATTAGTAACCACCAATAAATATACATACATACATACATACATACATATATATATATATATAAAATACCGTACATACTCACGTATCATGCGACTTTTGAAGACCTAATTTTGAAGCTAATTTTAAGAAGGTTGTATCATAAAAGAGATATAAAATTAGAATATGTTCTGCAGGCCCTGGCTATGGTGTTGACCAAACTATACATTCATAGTGTAAAAGTACAGCTGTATTTAAAATAAATATGATTTTGATGAAACTGATGTTTTATTTAACTTTATCCAATAATAATGCATGTAATATTCCTATATTCGTATCGTATTACAAGATACAGCGAATATGCATGTTTTCCACTGTTTACGTTTATAAGATGTTTAGCTGTTTCTCGTTCAGTTGTTTATAGCTGCACACGTTTACGCAACGACTATAGTCAGGTGTTACTAACAATACTTTTATCATTCTCTTTTACTTTTTTGAACTTATTTATCTTGAATATGGAATAAAGAGATAGAGGAAAAGAAGTCAGTCTATAATGATTTGATATCTCAAAAAAGGAACTCGCATGATATACGAGATACATGATAAAATCATTTTTTATAAATGAAAATTTGGGGGTCTCACGATACGCGAGATCGTGCGTTACACAGTATATACACGCCCTTGTGTGTGTGTGTGTATATATATATATATATATATATATATATATATATATATATATATATATATATATATATATATATATATATAATATAATATAAAAATTTCGCTTGAAGATGGAACAGAGCTTACTTTAACTCAATTTAATTCAAATAATTATATTGAAGTTTTCGGCTCTTGTTTTGAAACATGAGGCCTCTTATGTCGCGAATTGGAATCATATTTTTAAATAAATATTTTATATATATATATATATATATATGAATCAGCACTGCATAGTGACTCCTCCTTTACGACTTCAATGTGATTCTCAGATTAAGTTCCACCACCCCACCCCACCCTGTAAATATAGCAAATTTTAAACAGATATACAAATTATAGACCAAAAGTTTGGGGGTCACACTCTGGATCTTATAATTCTTCTTATTTTATGTGTCGTGTTTTTAAGAACGTAGGCGATCATGGACCTCCACTACCTCCTCCCTTGTAGCTCTTAATAAGTTTTATTTTTTTGTTATTTCTCCCAGACCCTGTTCTATCATACAATTACTCAAGCTCATCAAATATGTTACACGCTGCTTTCCTCTGTCCCTCTATTTGTCCCGTGAGTATCTGATTTTCCACGCCCTTCTTCCTCATTTCGCACCCCAGAAATTTAAACAGCCTCTTTTGCTAACAACCATGTATTCAGTTTTCTTGCAGTCTGCAGTCCTTTCTTCTCGCTTTTCTTTGACTAACTTCAGTAATAATTCTTGTAATTTCTTTTTTTGTATTTGCTATTAATACGTGCTTATCTTATATTAGGATTATCGCCGCCAATGATAAATTCTAGTAGGTCTTCTAATTCTCTTGCTGTATTGGTTGAAAAGGTCTGGCGAGAAGACACTCCTTTTTGTTTTTGTGTATTTACTGATTGTTGACATAAAAACAAGTACGTTGTCGGAGTTAACTCCTCCTTAATTTCCTAAGTGTTCACTAGGGGTCGCTCTCTCTACACTATAAATACTGGGCGATTTCTCGCCCCGTTCTCTTTTTACTTTACATTTGAGCGGACATATTTAAAAACGTGATCTCTCGCAGAGATCCGCGTTTTTACCCACTTGTGGGAAAACGCCATGAAACACACATACACGTACGTACGAACATTCACCAAAATACAAATTCTTTACGTTCACACACAAGCACAAATGTTAATGTTTATGTCCATTATTTACATTATTCGGACTATTGTTCTCATCTTTGTCGCCATATTTATTACAACATTTCGGTCGTTATACGCTCCGGCCTTCTTCAGGTTGTTGGAATGTCGAACTGAACCCTTTATTTCGCTCACGTGCCATGTTTAATGCATGTTAGTTATCAGTTATCTCCTGTTAATTCCCTTCTCTAAGTTAACCACTGCCTTAGCCGGGTATAGAACTCACACTCTTTGGATCCTGTCACTGGATCTAACCAACGCCTTTATCCACTTGAGGACATCTGTGTATTATAAACCAAATGTCTCAGCCACCATTTTTTACCAGTGCTCATATTGCTGAGACATTAGGTTTATAATACCCAGAAATTCATACACAGTGGATAAAGGCGTTGGTTAGATCCAGTGACTGGACCCAAAGAGTGTGAGTTCAATACCCGGTTTAGGCAGTGGTAAACTAGGAGAGGGGAATTAACAGGAGATAACTGATAACTGACTAATAAAACGTGGCCCGTGGAACTAGAATAGTTTACCCCAGTGAGCGAAATAAAGGGTTCAGCTCGACATTCCAACCACTGGAACGTACAACGGCCGAAACGTTGTAATAAAAATAGTCCGAATAATGTAAATAGTGTACATCTCATCTCAGAAATACAGACAGTCTATGTCCATTGTAAAATTGTGTTGTTTAATACATATATTTGTTGATATATATATTGTTGTCCATCTTCGGTTGGACCCAACTTGAGTCCGCCATATTCTTTTAAATAGAATTCTTTTAATATTCTATCTGGTGTTACACACGTGTTCCTAATTCAACAACACGTAAACCCACACGGTCCGCTACAACCTAATCAAATACACGTATCCAGATTAAGTGTGCTGCGGTATACTAGTAGATTTTGGTAAATATTAGTCACCATTATGTTGCTGGAATCTATAATTTGGATAGTAAATATTTACGTGCGAACCGGAAAATTTATCACGCAAACAATATTGGCGGACTCAGTGTGAGTTCAGGTAAAAATGAGTATCACAAAACAATAAGTTTTAAAAATAAAAAGACAATGCATGTATTCACAAACGGAAAAAACAAACAAACATTAAAACAAATTACAACCAGAATAGCGTCCTGAGTAAGACGATAAACTACACCCAACAGCAAAGCTTTTGATCAGGAGGTTTTGATGTTGTTCCCAGGTCCACCCTGATCCGGGGTAATAACACCTGTTAGGGGCCCAACTATGGGCAAATAGTTAACCTCTAAACTGGGTTCAAAACACTATGAAAGTATAAAAATAGGTTTTTAATACTAGCAATAAATTTCTTGAGGAAAAATTATTACCAGAAATACATTTTTGGAAAAATATTACCAGCAATAAAAATCTTGTCGGCATCAAATAACCTATTGAGGTTGATATACCGTAAAACAAAACAAACCCAAACCAAGCAATCAGTATGTACTTGTTCGTGTGTGTAACAACCGTATATAATAAGCACGTGCGTGAATGAGAGAAACCCATAAAAATGAATGTGGCTCAGTGGGGAATATTTTACCCACGTGCGACTACATCTTAAACCAGGGCTAAAAAGGTCAAAAAGAGTGTCTGAGTGAGAATATCATTGACTTAAAGAGCGCTCCACTAGCAGAGCCAAGTGGGGCAACCCACAAGTGAATACCTGCCACCCCCGATTTATATAAAGAGGGTTCAGGAGCGCCTGAAGATTGCGTTTACAAAGAATGAAAATCGAAGGTGCGGAAACGTGACTAATAATTTGGTAATTTCACATTCATACAGGGAGACAATTTTTTAGACCACTTGACTCTAAATCAAAATTTGTAACAAGGGACTTTTCTTTTTTTTTTTTTTAAAAAAAAACAAACGATAATTTTGAGAAACCTTTAAACATGAAAATTCTTTCTAAGCAACCACTTACATAATGTAACATTTTTTTTGACATAGTTGTTAGTTTAACTGGCAAAGATTCGAATCCTGAAAAAGTCAGTGCTCTCAACGTCACAATTGCACTTGAAAGACTTTTTTTTTCTGAAATTAAGTAATGTTTTAACTTAACTGTTACTTTTGGAGCGACGGAATGCAAGCCCTTTCGATAAATAGTTGCGCTATAAATGTTGCCTTTTGTCATATTTTTGATGTTATTTCATTATACTACAAAACTGTTTGGCATTATGCCTACTCACTTTTCAATGGTTAAGGCCGCTAGTCTGACAGACCTTTAAATAAGTTTGATATCCAACTGGTTGGCCCACACCGGCTGCGTACCTAGCGTTTGTGTCGTCCGGAGCGGTCGTAGAATTTGCCGCCCTCTTTAAACAACATTCCAAAACTGGTATTTTCCACAAAATATAAAGAAAGACGATACTTGTCGGTTTACGGTCATTTATTTTGTTTTGATTACAGAAGAGGAAAACAATAAAAAATGAAGATGGAAAAGCAAAAAAATG